GTTGAAAAGAAATTTTGTTTTGTTTCCACGACGTATTTATTTGGTGTAATTAAATGTGACATACTACTAAATTCATTTCCATTATCATTTTATATTATTATATTATTTAAATATTTTTACCATATCATTATTTATTCTCCAGTAGGGCTTGACCTGACCTCGTCACTACTCTACCGAGGTTAAGTTTGGAACTTACTGGGTACCGCTATGGTGTACTCATACTACACTTCTGCACATCTTTTTGTGCAGATCCTGTTACATTTTATCAGATCAGGCATCAGTAAACTAGCTATACGAGGAGACTTCAAGGTATATATATGCTAGCGCCCGCAGACTCCAGAGTCCCCTTCTATTCTTGTTATGTTGCTTCCTTATTTTCTTTAGAATCTGTTATATAGAAACATTGAGGATAAATTCTTAGAAGCTTGCGACTCATTTCTACTGGGTTTTGGGAGTTGAAATTGTTTGAATTATAGTTTATTTGTTTCAGATATTTATTATTATTCTGCATTGATAGGCTTACCAAGTCTTAGAGATTAGGTGCCATCACGACATCCTACGGAGAAAATTTGGGGTCGTGACAATGGTCCAATTGTGATATGCTTTGGCCTTCGTTCTTTGTAAGTGCAAGATTCACGTCAATTGGAGTCTTTGCAACTTTAAAATCTAAGTGCTTGAATTTTTCAAGTACAGTTTTAATGTAATGAGATTGTGACAATGCCAACCCTTGAGGAGTGTTATGGATCTTAATACCCAGAATTAAATCGGCAACTCCCAAGTCTTTCATATCAAACTTACTAGTTAGCATACGCTTAATCGTATTTATGTTGGTAATGTCATTACTCATTATCAACATATCATTCACATATAAGCAAACAATGACTATGTGATTTGTAACATTTTTAATGTACACACATTTATTATATTCATTTATCTTAAAACCATTTGACAACATTATTTGGTCAAATTTCGCATGCCATTGTTTGGGTGCTTGTTTTAGTTCGTAAAGCGACTTAACAAGTCTACATACCTTCTTTTCTTTACTTGGAACCACAAACCCTTCAGCTTGTTCCATGTAAATTTCTTCCTCCAAATCTCCATTTAAGAAGGTCGTTTTAACGTCCATTTGATGAATTTCAAGACCATATATCGCAGCTAATGCTACTAACGTTCGTATGGACGTAATTCTTGTAACTGGAGAGTATGTATTAAAATAGTCAAGACCTTATCGTTGTTCATACCCTTTTACCACAAGTCTTGCCTTATATTTGTTAATAGTATCGTCATCTTTCATTTTCCTCTTAAAAATTCATTTAGAACCCAATGGTTTATTGTCTGGATGAATATCAACCAATTTCCATGTATGGTTTTTCAGTATGGATTCTATTTCACTATTGACTGCCTCTTTCCAAAATAATGATTCGGAAGATGTCATAGCTTCTTTAAATGTTCGAGGCTCATTTTCCAATAAGAAAGTCACAAAATCTTGTCCAAATGAAGTAGACATTCTTTGACGTTTACTACGTCTTGGATCCTCTTGATTATACATACATTCTTTTGTTTCCTCCCGAAGTCGCTTAGATCCTTCAACAATCGACTCATATTCCTTTTTATACGAATATGTACTTTCGAAAAATTCAGCATTATCTGATTCTATAACCGTATTATTATGAATGTCGGAATTTTCTGATTTATGAACCAGAAATCGATATGCTTTACTATTTTTTGTATATCCTATGAAACACACAATCAACAGTTTTCGGTCCTATCTTTACCTTTTTAGGTTTAGGAACTTGCACTTTTTCCAAACACCCCCACACTTTAAAATAATTCAAGTTGGGCTTCCTTCCTTTCCATTTTTCATATGGAATGGATTGCGTTTTGCTATGGCTTCCCCCCACAAGTTCTGTGGCAAACCATAACTTATCAATAAAGTGTTCATCATTTTCTTTAATGATCGATTCTTTCTTTCTGCAATCCCATTGGATTGAGGCATGTAAGGGGTCATTGTTTGATGAATAATTTCATATTCTAAACATATTTCTTCAAAAGGATATTCGTATTCACCACCCCTATCACTTCTTATCATTTTGATTTTCTTGTTAAGTTGTGTTTCAACTTCATTTTTGTATTGTTTGAATGCATCTATTGCTTCATCTTTACTATTAAATAAGTAATCATAGCAATATTGAGTGCCGTCATCAATAAAAATTATGAAATACTTCTTTCTATCGCGAGATGGTATTGACTTCATGTCGCAAATATTTGTGTGAATTAAGTCTAAAGGATTTGAATTCCTTTCAACTTACTTATAAGGATATTTAACATACTTAGATTCCACACATATTTGACATTTTAATTTGTCGCATTCAAACTTAGGCAATACTTTCAAATTAATCATTTTTTGCAAGGTTTTATAATTGACATGTCTCAAACGTATATGCCATAAATCATTTGACTCAAGTAAGTAAGAAGAAGCTAAAATTTTATTATTGTCAACAACCATTACATTCAGCTTAAAAGGCCCTCAGTAAGGTAATCTTTTCCTAAGTACATCTCGTTCTTACTTATTACAACTTTGTCTGAAACAAAAACACACTTAAACCCGTTCTTGACGAGAAGTGAAATAGAAACTAAGTTCTTTCGTATTTCAGGAACATGACAAACATTGTTCAGAGTCATCACCTCGCCAGAGGTCATCTTCAGGAATATCTTTCCATAACCTTCAATTTTGACCGTTGCAGAATTTTTCATAAAAATTCTCTCGTCGGGTCCAGTGGGAGCATATGAAGCAAATGCTTCAGCACAAACATGGCGGGTGGCACCAGAAGCAATCCACCACTCCTTAGGATTTTCCACTAAGTTGCATTCAGACAACATAGCGTACAAGTCATCAATATCATCATTTGTTTCAACCATATTTGCTTGTCCCTTTTTCTTCTCTTTCTTTGGAGCACGACATTCTGCAGCTTTGTGTCCAACCTTTCCATAGTTGTGGCAATTTTTCTTGAATTTCTTCTTGATGGGATAGTTGTTTGGTCCAAAAGACTTCTTTCGCTTCTTCGGATTAGTTGGAGCAGTTTCAACAATATTTGCTCCCATAATTGTTGAGTTCCCACGTGTCTTCTTTTCTGCAGCTTTATTATCCTCTTCGATCCTCAATCGAACGATGAGATCTTCGAGTTTCATCTCCTTGCGCTTGTATTTCAAGTAGTTCTTAAAGTCCCTCCATAAAGGAGGCAACTTCTCAATCATTGTTGCAACTTGAAATGCCTCATTGATGACCAAACCTTCAATGAACAATTCGTAATTAGTAACAAAATTAATACTTTCAAAAAAAGCATCAATTTAGATTATACTTTCAGCAAGGAGATCGTGAATTATAACTTGCAGCTCTTGAACTTGGGTAATGACATGTTTGTTGTCTACCATCTTATAGTCCAAAAACTTGGCTGCAACAAACTTCTTTAAATCGGCATCCTCGGTTTTATACATCTTTTCCAACGCATCCCATAGTGCTTTAGAAGTTTTTGCATTACTATAGACGTTGTAAAGATCCTCCAGCCCGCTAAGAATGTTATTCTTGCACAAGAAATTTGAGTATTTCCATGCCTCAATCACTATAAAACGTTCATTATCAGGAGTTGATTCCGGCAGAACCGGAACGTCCTCCTTGATGAACTTCTGTAGATTCAAAGTAGTCAAATATAATAACATCTTCTTTTGCCGACATTTGAAATCAATCCCGAAAAAATTTTCGGGCTTTTCCGCCGGAGCCGGTGGTGGCACAGAACGATTGGAAGTAGCAACATTGCTCGTAGAGCCAACCACGAGGGTTACTGTTTCTGTCATTTTTGTTAACAACAAAACAGAAATAAAATTAATTAACGGTGAAGTATTTAAAATCTTCAAACCGAACAACTTTAACAGAAACAAATTAAATGCCACAATGAAGATTTTATTTCTTCAAACCGGATACATAACGAATAGAAAATCACAGAGATTTTAATATCGTAATGTCAACCAAGGAGTAGAAAATCCGAAGATTTTAGTCTCCAAACTGAGAGTAGAAATCACTAGGATTAGGTCTCTCACAATCAGAATATAAGATGAATACAGAAAAAATAATTAAGTTCCTTAAGCTTGTTAGTATTTTGTATTCGAAAAATATATTAAAAAAATAAAAATAAAACGATATAAAACTAGAAATATAGAAGAGCAGAATTATTTCGAGCCCACTGAATTCACAGTGTTTCCTTAAGGAACTTAATCCCCTCCTATTACCCGAGGTTTAGGATTATTTTCTCCCAGGATAGAACGGATTATCCTCACTGGTGTAGCGGTACTTCAAACCCTAGTGACAACGAACGCAAAGAACAGTAGTAAATCGCACTTAATGCTCTTTTTTTTCCTATTAAAACAATGCAGAAAGAAAAAGGATAAATCAGAATTTTCGTAAGGAAAATCTGAGGGAAAGTCCATGTATTTATAGCCAAAAAACGTTGGGTTATACTGAAGAATTACAACTCTTCATGTAAGGCTGCAACTCAAAATGGATGTTTCATAAAATGACCATTTATGCAAACCGCCAAATTCAAATTATAACGGGAAAATTAAAACGGAGGAAAATTGAAATACCATTATAGAAACGGTCTAATTTGGATTAATTAATATTGCGTTAATATTAACAAATAAATTTTGTCCAAAAAATTAATCAATCAATCATTTGACCGAAACCGAGCGAGCGACGACGGCGCGAGACTTGCCTTCTTATTAACTCTTTAAGAGCTAGAAGAAGAGCAATTGTATATATACCCATCAAAAGTCTTTTTTACTACTCCAATATGGGACAATGTCATCAAAATTTCATTTTCCCTCCCATTCACCCTCTTTTAAGATGTAAGAAGCTTAAACCCAACACAATTTACTACTATCTGTATTCTCATTTTCATTTTAACAAGACCTTAATCATTTTCAGGAAAGATTTGATGTACTCATTATTAACCAAAATGGCTGCTTGTCTTACATCTATGGAGAAAGGATACATGCTAAATGGACGAAAAGAAATGTTTAGATCAATGCCAAAGAGTGATAGACCATTATTTCGAAATACAAGATTATCACTACCAACAAAAGTGCAATTCATCAGATATATCCTTTACGAAGCCAACAGGACAGCCAAAAGGTAAGCCTTGTCTTGGGAGAAGGCGATGAATCAAATTCCTTCTGCCGATAATAAACTCCATTTTTCTTCTGAAGATGCCAACTGATCCATGAAATCTGGACTAGCGAAGTAAAACTCCTTTGATTTTCTGTCATTTCTCCTGTTGAATGAATTTCTTCAGTTACACCAATGAGGCAAGAAACAGAAGAGAAGATTGAAGGGAATACATGTGATGCACACCTGGTTTCTTTTTGTCTGGTGAGGAGAACTAATATTCCAAACCCTACAATAACTGCAATTTTTATCACCTGAAAAACGTAGACAATAGCAAGCTTTGGTCACTTTTAAAAATATTCATGTTCGTCAGTGATCAAAGCAAAAGCGGACTGAAGCAATTCATTGTCAAGGGAAGGACTTCTGATAGTCATGTCCATTAATGATTGTCCGAAGCATGCATTTTATAGCCCTTATTAATACTTGTTATACTTGAGCAAAGATAAAGGATAGGGTAGAATTTTGAAATTTGCTCCTAGATCTGAAGAGAATGAGATGTATGGTTCAGTTTTTAAGGTAAAGAGTCAAAACTAAAATATTCAGATCAAACCATCTAACTGCTGCAGGATGCTGATTGCTGTGCTTCCCTAAGTTCACAGTTAAATAGCAGACATCCAAATGACACACTAATATATAAATGTATGAATCAACACAAATATGCATATGTGACCTGTCTAACGGGTCCAGAAGGGCCATTTTGTCCAGAGCTCTCAGTCTGAGATTTTCTTGGCTTTTGTGGCTTCTCTCCCCCTTTCTTTATCGTGGAGTCACTTTTATGGAAAAAACCACGCTGCATCCATTAAACCAATTAGTAAACAGTTATCTTTGCAGCAACTTGTTCAAGCAAACAAAATCATCTTCCCAGAGGACCACATGTTTTATCAATTATTTTAATCACAGAATGATGAGTTGATGACATGATCAGTATGAGGAATTGTTAGTAGATATGTGTGATAAAGCAGCATGCAGATTTTTCCATCAAGTTTACCACTAAGGATAGTGGACTAACTTCTGGATACTATTGAACTTTTTAAGGAGATAGGCAAGGATACTAAAATACCTTCCCTGTAATTTCTTGCTTAGGTGGTTTCTTGTTCCTTTGATGATCATCTACTTCAGCATGGTAATCTTCCAATAAATGCATTGTGCTTTCGCCTGCAGTTGTTATACAGACACGATTTTTGTTATCCGGAAATATCCATACACCAGAATTTTCAGAGTCATAATGCTCATTTTCGCAATATGCTATTAATTTTGGTTTCTCATTTGGAACCCTTTCAATATGAACTTCTAGTAATGCCTCTGATCTAATTTCTCTGTTTCGTTGTTCTGCAACTGAAGGATCACTAGAACGATCTTGGTCAGCAGCTAAATTATTAGCATTCAGCATATCTGAATGAGCCACATTGATTCTTTGGGAGCTAGTAGCTGTTTCCAGGTTGGATAATCTCATCAAATCTACAGGTGAAGTAGCTACAGTATTTGACTCCTTTTTAGTAGATCTTAAGGTATCCTGCTGACCTGAACCTGCTTCGTTAAATGGGACAATGTGCACACTTGACTGCTTCAACTGTTCATGGAACACGGGCTGTCCAGTACCAACAATATCTTGCTCACGAGAACTACTTTCTCGTCTCACCAAATCTACAGGTGAAGTAGCTTCACTATTAGACTCCTTAGCGGATGTTAAGGTCTCCCGCTGACTTGAGCCTGCTTCATTAAACGGGACAATGTGCACACTTGATTGCTTCAACTTTTCATAGAACACGGGCTGTCCGGGGCCATCAATTTTGTGCTCCGGAGGACTGCTTTCTCCTCTTTTGTCAATATTTCTTTGAGGTTCTGGCAAGTTTGCATTATTAAGAGGTCTTTCTACCCTTAGTGCACTCATCTTATTAGGCATTGCAGTGTCCTCTGGATCCAGATCTTTTAGGGAGCCTCCAATTCCAACTAAGTTTGGTTGGGATTTTGATGCTCGATTCCTTGTAAGCGACCTTCTCCCTTTCTTCTGATGATGCAGTCAGTTCAATATTTCCAAAGTTTCATGTAAACACAAGGAAAAAGGTTATCAGCATAGCAAGTCCACTACATGGCATATTTCACCCTACAATAAGCTGGAGAGTAGAAGTACCTGAGCAAGACCGGTTTCAAAGGCACTTATCATATTCCTGACACTGCTAGGAGTTTTCTCTAATACACGTTGATCCTCAGGTTTATTAGGTGGATCAACAATCTTCGTTTCGGACACAGACTCTTTCTTTGCAGCAACATTCACCCTCAACACATACTGAGCACCTTGATCCTCAGGTTTACTAGATGGATCAACTATCTTCTTATTGGATACGGATTCTTTCTTTGCAGCAACATCCATCTTGAACATAGACCGACCACTTTGATTCTCAGGTTTATTAGATGGATCACCAATCTTATTTTGGGGCATAGACTCTTCCTTTGCAGGAACATCCATCCTCAACATAGACTGAGCACCTTGATCCTCAGGTTTACTAGATGGATCAACAATCTTCTTTTGGGGCACAGACTCTTTCTTTGCAGCAACATCCATCTTCAACATAGACTGTCCACTTTGATCCTGAGATTTATTAGATGGATCAATGATCTTCATTTGGGACACGGTCTCTTCCTTCACAGCAACGACCATCTTCAACATAGACTTAGCACTTTGATCCTCAGGTTTATTGTATGGATCAGCAATCGTCTTTTGAGACACATACTCTTTCTTTGCAGCTACATCCATCTTGAACATAGACTGAGCATCTTGCTCATTAACAGGTTTTACAGAAATATAATCACGTATTAGCGGAGTTTGAACCTTCTTAACTGATGGTCTGTCAGGTTCAGAATATTGTATTTGAACCCCTTCTTTCACAGGTGAAGATGAGGTTGCTTCACTTCTATCTGTGGCATTCTAAACAGGCAGATTTGCTATCAAAAATCTTAGCAATCTACTCGGTTATAATTCTTCACTTAAAAAGTAAATTTTGACCTCATTAAGCTACAATGCATTCTGTATGTAGTCACCACAGTGCTAATTCATTCATTTTCCACATGAGGTTAAGCTGCAAAGCCCAAATAAAATTTTCCTACTCTTGAATTACTGGAATAAATCTAGCTAAAATCTAATAACGAGAGAAGTCGGCCATAAATCTTTGTAAGAAAAACTACAACGGGGAAATACTCCATCATAAATTTTATTCCCTTATCTTTCTTTCCTTAATATAGTTCTTAGAATGTGTGATCAAACCTGAAAGCTTCCTTCTGATGGGCAGAGATGATGCAAATGTATCTCCCACAGGAATTGTTGTTCCTTTATATTCAACATTTGTTGCAGGAACTATGTATTGTTTCTTCTTCAGAGCAGATTCTCTCTGCCAAGCCAATCAAGATATCATTACACATAAGCTAATAGCATTGTCAAGGCTACCAAAAGTTTAAAGCATAGAAAAAAAAAGAAAAAACTTAAAGTACTTCTAAAATCCTGTTAGAAACTCTGTACCAGTAGGGTGGGAACATGTTTTGAGGTTGGGTATCTAAATTATTCAGTATCCCTTCTGAATAAAACTAGTGAGGAACAGTAGTATATATTACCACATTACGAATTCGGTTGCGATCATCCTCACTGAGAATGAATTGCAACTTCATATGTACATAATCACCTCCTTCAAGTTGGAAAAAATCATCCCAATAACCCTTCTCAACTATTGATAAGGTCTGAACTTCTGTCGAAGAGAAACTCATTGTCACATACCTTTATAAAAAGATCACATTACCATCAAATTTGAAACACAAAGATGATACAACCTGTACGTGATATTTCATTTCCCTCAGCATCCTGAAGTCTCACAACCAAATTTTCGCGAAATGTTGTTAATGGGCTGTAAAAGTATAATCAAAGTTCACAAATATTTAATCAAGCTTTGTCCTGAAAGCATGAAGAAAAAAGATATACAGGTGTTTGAAACATTACAAGGAGAAGTCTCCTTTGTCCCACGTTTGGTATGCTCTCTTCCCCATGGAAACTACACAAAACATATCAAACCCCAAGTAAATTTGAAATGCAACTAGAGAAAGGGCAGCCCGGTGCACAAGGCCGCACCAAGGGTGTGATGTAGACAGCCTGACCTAATGCAAGCATTAGTGACTGCTTCCACGCCTAGAACCGGATACAACTTTACCGTTGCACCAAGCACTTAACCCTTGCACCAAGTCTCCAGAGCTCCCCTAAAAAAAAGCAACTACAAAAACACTCTAAAAACAAACAAAGGAAAAAAGAAATTACTAACCCCATAAGCAAATTGAGGAAGGTGGTGCTGGAGATGAAATGTTCTTGAAATCCAACACTATGTGAACAAAGAATGCCAAATTGAGTTAAAACTAAGAATGCCAAATTGAGTTAAACTAAGACCATTTCACTAATTTGGTATAAACATAATAAAAGGGGGAAGTTTTTTGTACCTGAAACTTGGATTGTTCCTGGCATTTGAGAGAATTTGATATTCAATAAAAAAGATACTTTCCCCTCAAGGGTACTACATTATTCAGGGAAAAAAAATTAATGACACCTGTAACATAAAAAGCATGGCTTGACTTTACTTCACTTGGATAGAAGAGAAAGTTTGGTTGGACAGCAGAAAGCGGATGTGGATGAGCTAAGAAATATGATTGGGGCCATTAAAATTCAATTAAAGCTATTAAAGACCTCAAAAGACTTCTCACCAAAATCTGTGTTTTTGTCTCATCTGTACCACCTCAGCTCTCACCCTTCTGCAATAACGCCAGTGTGAAACAAAAGGTTCCTTTGTTTTCTTTTTAACTTGAGTTTAAGTTATATGTAAAAAAAAAATATCCTTACAATAGGTAACTCTTAATGAAAAGCATTAATTGATTCCTAATAAAGATAGTAAATGATCTAATACCATAGGTTAACGTACACTAAATTATAAAATATTCTTATATTATCAATGTATAATTCGTGTATTTTAATTTTATGATATAATTTGAAGAAAAATAAAAAAGAACAAAGACTTTTAAAATTCATACTCTATGTCATATTATTTGCATGTTCATAAATTTTTTGAAACTTGTAATTTTGAATATATTATAATATTTGTGTGGTTATAAAAGCTTATAGTTAAAATATAAAATTTGTTTCAAATTTAGAGGTGTATCATTTTTTTATCACATAAACTAAGATGGAGGGGGAGTAATTTAAATCTTTTGGTCTCATTTTCTCCTAGTTTATGATACACTTTGTTTGGAAGCTATTACTATTGTTAGGGGAAACGAAATAAAAGGGAAAGTATAAAGTGGAGAAAGAGAAGAAAGTTTATTCTCCACGAATCTGAATTTGGTTATCAACTTTCACATTTACTCAACTAATAAGAAAGAATTACAAGAAAATACATGTTATTTCATATCATAATAAAAAATGGCTCATATTTTTAAATTTTATCCGACCTAGCCCATCAACAACAATAATAATAACCCAGTGAAATCTCACAAGTAGGTATGGGGAGGGTAGTGTGTATGCATACCTTACCCCTACCTATGAAGATAGAGAAGTCGTTTCCGAAAGACCCTCGGCTTAAGAACGTTAAAAATGGAGCAATATAGAAACAATAGCAACAACAATGTAATAACACAGTGTAAGCAAATACAACGAATAATAACAGAGAACCAGGGATACAAAACTACAAGAATAATGTCAATTCTATTGCTAATACCCGACCTAGCCCATATTGTACATATTTTGAAAGCACTAACAAAAGCATCAACCGACAACTCCTATTTCAAAATCTGTTTTCTTACAACCACTACTTCTAAAAGTTATGGAGTTAAATGTAGTTGGTCAAGTTACCCATTTAGTTTGATGTTACGACAAGAAAAAATTACTGCATAAACTAAGAATATTTTTGTTCTAGAGCCTCTTGGCTTTAAAGACTCTTCACAATTTAGTTTTTAAATTTTTTATTAGATCTGAGTTTTTAGAGTTTGTTAGTTGTTTGGATTGAGTATTGCTCCAATTGATTGAAAATATCAAGAGGAGTTCCAAAATTAAATGTGAAGTGATTTGTAGTAGATTTGAGCTAGATTTCAGAAGAGGCTCAAGGAAGAAGACGAAGTCAATTTTTGTATAATAGTGTATAATATTGTATATGGATGTGTATACCTCTTATACACCTTTATGCAAGTATCTGTAGACGAACTTCTTTCACGATTTTCAGTTGTAATTCTTGTTCAAAAACAGTCTAAATCTCCATTAAATGACTTCAAGTTTTATATACAACCTCCTTGTACTATTTATAACAAGTCTAATTAACACCCAACTCTAAAATTCTCACAGGATCAGATTCGAAATTTAAACCCTTTTATTTAAGTTTGTTCAACAATGGTGGACCAGTCCAAATCTTCATTAAATGACTTCAAATTTTGTATACAACCTCCTTATACTATTTCTAACAAGTCTAAACAACACCCCGCTCTAAATTTCTCATAAAGCCAGATTTGAAATTTAAACCCACTTATTTAAGCTTGTTCGACAATGGTGGATTATCTTAAAAATCTAATTTTTACCACCTAAATAGATTTGATTTGTTGAACTAATGTTTGAGTCACAATTACTAATTCGAAGATTAGATTAAAATCTTGAGTATTTTTTTAAAAAATTAAATAGTAATTTCGAGAACCTATTTGGAGTTAAATATTGAATCTTAGCCTATTATTTTTGGGCTATAACATTGTAAAATTAAATATGGACCACTGCAATGTATGTGTGTAAGTTGTATTTATGTGTAATTTTCCCAACTAATAATAAGAGAAGATTAAAGAGAAAAAGCATAAAGACCCATTAAACTTGTTCGAGAAAATTATTTACACACCTAAACTTTATGGGTGTCCTAACACCCCACTATTCTCATCTAAACTATATTTAATACCTCCTTCAAAATTGTCACGCCCCGACCTGGGAGCGAGACTGGCACCCGGTGCCTCAACTAACCTGGTGTACCAAATTGCGATTAAGGGACTCTGAACATATAATGTCATAATTTGGCCATGGGGCCACCTTGCAAGACAATTTGCGAAGCAAAATATAAAACTGAATGGTAACTAGCACTGACTAAACATCAATATAAAGTTGGGCCGACAAGGCCGTCATAACTACTACAACCGACAAACCACCAAAATATACATACCAGGCCTACAAGCCCAACATAGTGCACCAACTGACATGATATGTCTACAAGCCTCTACTGATGGATATATTATGATCGGAACAGGGCCCCGACCTACCCATAATATATATACATATATACAGAAGATGTACACGAAAACCTAGACCCGATAACTCCGAAGGACGTGGAGCTTACCGATCAGGCTAAACTCTGGAAACACCTACTGAGGAGGTTTACCCGTCTGTCTATCTGAACCTGCACGCATGAAATACAACGTCCCCATAAAAGGGACGTCAGTACAAAATAATGTACTGAGTATATAAGGCAATAACATAACTGAAAGTTGANTTTCTCTTTATGTCTCATTACTAACACATGTAGCTACGAGATCATGCCAAAAATGAAGGAAGGCTTAGCCTTAACATACCTTATCACACTCTTTCCAATCGCCAAGTTGAACTCGCCTCTTCTCACCTTAATCTACAACAACGATAATAATACTATCATTAAGTTATGAAACGTATAACTATTGCACAACGAACGATATGCTTATTTTGTATTAAAACGGACAACATCTCCCCTATAATCCTTACTTCCTCCAAATTCAAGATAACACCAACAATACCCAAAATAACAATAACAACATATATACATTATTTTTCAAACTTATGTACACCACACAATACTACAAAACAGCCCAACACACCCCAATCTCTTCATACACAAAACGACCACCGTAGTAGTGTCAACAACCCCAAAAATGTTACGACGAACGACCAACCCAACATCCTGCATTTATGTGGTGTTTCTCCACACCCTTCCTCCTCCAAAACTCCATAAAATAGTAGTAAATCACGCAGCCCAACAGCAACACCAAACTGTCGACAAAACAATCCATAAAACAGTCCGCTACAAGTGAATAACTCGAACTCACGGCTTCCGCTCACCGTCCCGTGAGTTCTTACAAATATAGAACAACTTACCATGCATCTAAAACTGTAAAGAATGGATGAAAGAAAGCAGTAAACTTACCTTATTTGTGGGATAACTCAACTCCTATCTTGGTTCTTCAAACTCTAGGTTTTACCTCCAATTAGAACTTGAAAGGGAGAGAAAATCAATTGGGATTTGTGAGAAATTTTTGGGAGGATTTTTGCAGAGATTAAGTATGGTTATTTTGCCCTATTATCATCCTAATATATGAAGGGGATAGGCCTTTAAAAAGGCCTCTTTGAACGACCCGAATTGGCCCAGTTTTGGATTCTCGTTTAAGCAAGTAGGTGACAGTCTGCGCAGTCTCTCAAAAATGCCCACATCTCTCTACTCGGATATCGTATTGACAAACGATTTAATTCGTTGGAAAATAGACTCATAGATATTTAATTTGATGGGTGGAACACCCCATAACTCTAAGTATATTGGGAGAAAATCGCAGTTGTATTTGACCCAAAGTTTTAGTAAAACGTATGAACGTAACGTGTGATGACTTTCATCGACTTTTGTTCCACCACTCGCTTGACTTCAAAATATAACACACGACTATCATACGAATAACATAACTCATAATATAACATCCTTATCATGTTAAACACCCCGGTCTCACCCCAAAAGTACATGCTATAACATTCCCAACTTGTCGGCTTTCGACGAAACATTATTTTCTTCAATTCCTTTAGCTTCTGAACCTTCCAACCCTCTTTGTACTTGTTGTTCATGATCTTCAATATTTGTAACTTTCAAGGTAACATGATTAACTTGCTTTATATATTTTCAAAGATGATCTCATTTTATTTTGGTCCTACATTAGTTTGCTCACGACGCAGTTTTATGTATGAAAATATAGGGTGTAACAAAAATACTGAACCAGTCTTGTGGTGGGCTGTGTTAACACGCGCCATGTATCAAATGGTGAACTATATCATTTTTTTTTTTACTTTTTCTTTCCTTTTTCACTATTTTTTTCATTTCATCTTCTCCACCTTCTTCATCATTATTTTTTGCCGCCCGCCACCATGGAAGCCATTCACTGTCATAACCTCTCTTAAACCCATCAAATCTATCTCTGAAATCAGATACCACTCCACTTTAACACCTCTAATTTGACCATTTTCCCTTCACATCAATCTCACCAAAAAACTTTGTACTAGATGGTCCATTAAATCGAACATAAAATACTAAATGGTCCAAGTAATTTGAACATGGTGATGGATTTATACTTAGGTAGAAAGAAAACTCAGACACCCAAATCGAAGAGAAAAGGAGAGAAAATCCCTTGTACGAAAAATGGTATTGGCGAACATCAAGCTCTCCAGTCAAGTATAAAAAATGTTCCAACCTAAATTCTTGACGCAATTGGTTTGGAGAACTTATGTTTCTATCAAATCCAGGAGATTAAAGGGATAAAATATGAGCAATAAAATAAATTTTGTAAAGATAGGTGAAATAGTGAATATGGCGAAGGAAATGAAGGAGTGAGAATGGAAATTCAGCAAG